GTACTCCCTGGTTTTCAATGGTTCTCTAACTGATATCAATCCGTGATCAACTCGTAAAACATAACTAATCCTTACAAACCAAACTATAGAAAGTTAATCTGATGCTCGCTAGTGACTTGCTACAGGTTGGAGTTTCCTGAGTTCTAGTGAGAAGTCGTGACCAGTGAGGTCCAATTAGATGTCACGTGTGTGGATGGATGTCCCACCAACGACAATGGTTGGGGTCGTGCTAAATCACGAATTAGTAGAAGTTAGAATTCACGAGCCATTGAATCGGGTCCCAGTGGCTGAATGGTATACGAGCTTGCCTTGTAACCGGAAGGTCCTGGGTTCGAAACCCAGTGGGTGCGTACTACCGATGATTCCCAAACTAGGATGAAACAGCAGCTGTCCAGTACTCCCTGGTTTTCAATGGTTCTCTAACTGATATCAATCCGTGATCAACTCGTAAATTATTGATAATAAGGTTTATGCAGATGGCGATAAGAATAACAAAGATAGTATATCTATATATGTGTATATTTAGACTATTCAATAAATAAATAAATTAGGTCAAATCTTAAAAGGTGAAATAGAACGATAATCAGAGTTTAAATAAATATCATAAAAGTACGAAGGAGATGGAAAATAAGAAATGGTGGGAGGATTTTGGATAGAATTCACCTAGGACAAAGGTAGAACAAACTTTTGTATACAAAGACTAGGGTTGTTCTCTCGAATTCCCATAGCTTCGGCTAAGTGTAAAAGACAGGTTCTGATTCCGTTCGAAAGACTCGGTGGAATGCGATAGATAACTTTGAAGGCACTATTTCTGTCCACTTGGTGACCGCTGTCAATCAAATGAGCCAAAATAGAACTTCGTATGGATTTTTTTACCTTTTCCGAACCATTAAGGAAGATGCTCATTAATGCGTTTGTTAAGCTGTCTAGTTGTTCGGCCTATATAGCTTTTTCCACAGGAGCAAATAAATTTATAGATACACATGGAAGTGGCACAGCTAGGTAGTTTATCCTTCACTTGAGCAATTTTTACTTAAAGTTACCATCAATTTTATGTACTATCAAACTATGAAAGAAAAAAGGGCGGCCAGAGAAGACAGAAGAATCTAATAAACAGTGTTAGCTTGTACGTTAACATAGCAACTCAAGAAGATTAAAGTTCATCAATTTGAAAACTTGCTTAGTTTAGCTGAACTCACAAGTGTGTGTGTGTGTATGACTAATCAGTATAATGAAAGTGATAAGGTGTGATAGTATATAAATTGATGGTAACTTAAACTATAAATTGTAATACTTATATTCTGGATGCTTTCACCTTATAATGTTTTCACTATTACTTTTCAAAGAAAAGAAAAAGTGTTCAGCAAAGAGTTACTCTTTTCGGCGATATCATTCTCAAGCTGTACAAATCGCAAATTTATAGTAATTTGTCTTGGCAACAAAAGGAATATTTCCAAAGATGTGTTAATGCAATTGTTAGTTTTTGACAAAAAGATTACGTAATTTTGAAGGCGTTAATCGGTTAGAAACTAAAATAAAGTTACAAAAGTAGGTTGGGTGACGTAATCTAATTGGTAGGGTTCAATGAAAAAATGAATGAGAGTCAAGTTAATAATCTGAGTAGAATTCACTTGAAAATGAATGAGAGTTAAGTTAATAAGCTACTTTTCAAAGATTGAAGTATGAATTGTTATTATTTAGAACCAATTTAATTTCAGGTTGTTTACAGTTAGCTGATGGGAACCTGTGAAATAGAATGATGGTATCATTAATTTATACTGCAAATCTGGTTTTTATTTCTCTATCAAAATTTATCAAGGGAAGCAAATATATGAAAAATTATGATTATATCATTTACAAGTCATAATTGGAATGGATGAAGTTAAGATCACTATTTACGTCCGATAGCTATATGCGGAGTTCAAGTGATTTAATGAACTACTCTGTTGTCTCTGCATTAAAGCTGGTCAAGTATTGGACTTGTAAGCGTAGTTCAAAAACAGATGATAAGCACTATTGATTACAGTTAACAGTCTTTATTCGCTAATATTAGTTTGTACTATCTATCAAATAGTGCATTGAAGAATCACATGTTCCCTAAATATAATGATATTTAATTTTGCGTGTGTACCTAATAGTCACTACAGTCGTTTTCGTCATATTGGACTATGAACCAAATATAATATGTATGACCTTATCATACTACCCGTTCATTGATGTCGAATCAAGTGGAGCAGATTATTACGCGTCGATGTAATATCCTCGTATAAGTGACAAATCTCCTTTTGACCTTGACCTCTTTAAGTGTGTTTATGTGAAAGAGATAGTTAGATATACAACTGTACTTGTAAACCCTTGTTTTTGCAATTAATAGTGTTCTCTGAGCTGGTTGGTTTAGTTGTGGAGCTTTCATCGTCCTTGTGGACAACATCTTCAGCGCAATATTTAGCATAAAGTGAAATGATTTAAATTTCTTCATGAGTGGTATAATTGCGTCTCCCGGTAACCATCTTCATGACATATGTATTGACCATTTTCTGTTGACTTGGATTTTAAACTTTCTGGTCACATGATTTGCTTTTTATTACTTGGTATATTTGGTCTATATTAACGTGTTTGTTAATTGCCTATTCGCTAGAGTACCAGGCTTCTAAGAATTCCCTGACTGCACTTTTGGTGTTTCCTCTGTCTAAGATTTCGACATTATCTCAATTAAACTGATGTCCATAATTGTCTATATACATTGATATGAGAGAATATATTTATCGTGTCTTTTCACGGCTGATTTGTGTTCTTGGATTCGAATTCGAAGGGGACGCCTACTTTAGCCTATGTAATGCCTGTTACAGTTCATACATGCAATTTATTTTGTAAATGGTGTTAATTTTATCTCCTTTTTCTGTTGGATCTTTCGGTTTGCATAATATCGAATTAAACGATTTGACTGGCTTGTGTGCTATATCTATATCAAATGGTTTCAGTATTCTAGCTGTTATATCAGAGATATTTCTCATGTATGTTAGGATGGATTTTCTTGTTGTCTTTGATGATAGTTCCCTGTTGGTGTTGTGATTCAACTTAAAACACTTTTTGATGAAATTTTGTGGATAACCATTCTTTTTGAAGACCGTTTGCAGGTATTTTTCTTCCATTCTTTTCAACTCTGGAGTGCTACAGTGTGTTTGAATTTTTTTAAACAATATCTGCCTCACAGTTTCTTTTGTGAGTAATTGGATTATTGCTAGTATAGTTGAGTATTTAATCTGTGTGCGTTGATTTTCTGTATACTTATGTTTCTAAATTCCCTGTGTTGGTTCTCCTGATTAAGACATCTAAAAATGGCATTTCGTTATCTATGTATCTTCTCTTGTGAATTTGATGTCTTCAAATATGTTGTTTATTAATTTATGGGTATATTCTAAATCATTTCTCTTAATTGTTACAAATGTATCATGCCTAACCATCGCCTCCCCCGACGGGCATTACTAGCTGATACATGTGCATGTTGGAAAAAAATAAGTGGTAGCCTAACAAAAACATGACATCAGTCCATGAAATCCTTGACAGTTAAACTGAGTCACGTAGGGAGATGCAGACTTCCGGGTTGGGGCCCTCGGAACTCTAGGAATCAATGGCTGGAGACAATAGGTGACATGGCTCAAAATCGTTGTCAATGGCCAGCGCAGATGTATTCAGTCTCTGAAATCTTTCATATTCCTTTCTACTATTACCCATTCTGTTTCACTCTTATACTTGTCAGACTGTATTGATTCTCTTCACTCATCTTCTTGTCTACCTTTGTGTGTGTGTGTGTGGTATTTGGAACGTGGGAACTCGAAGTGCTGCACTTCGGTGCCAAGTTCTATGTTGAATCCAGACAGACAGATCATCAACGTAATGTCCTCAGATTTTCGGTTTAATTATAGGCAGAGCTATTAATTCTAATCTTTGCATGACGGCTTCAGCTATTAATCCTGATATGGGCGATCTCATTGGTGTTCCTTTTATCTGTTCATATATTTGAGTATTGAATTGGAATTATGTTGTAAGGCATAATTTTATGAATTTTATTCAAGTTGTTTTCATCACTATAGAGTAATTGTTGCATAGTTTCTGTTGCTAGTTTTGGACTAATTGAAGTGTATAATGCTGTGACATCAAAGGACACCATTATTTCATTGTCTTCTACTTGAATGTTTTTGATTTTCTCTAAAAATTCGATTGACGAATTGATAGAATGGTCGCATGATTCTGTTAGGTAATTTAATTTCCCGAAAAGTCCTTTAGATAGATCATATATTAGTGTTCCTGGAAGCGAAACGATTGGTCGTAAGGGAATTTTTGGTTTGTGTGGTTTTGGTTTACCATAGAATCGAGGTAAATAGGTCCGTTAGATTTCATTCGCCATTGATCTTGTTTTGTAATTTGTCCTGATTTCGTTAGTTTATTTAACATTGTTCTGATTTTGTTATCGAATATTTGTATAGGGTTTTTTTTATCAACTGTTGGTACACATTATTATCTTTGAGTAAATCTTGTGCTTTCTTTATGTAGTCTTCTGTGTCCAGGGTTACTGTAGTTCTTCCTTTATTAGCCGGTAGAATAACTATATCTTTTCTATTCTTCAGTTTCTTCAATGCATTTTACTCTTCAGTGCTAAATTGGGAATTATGTCTTTTCTGTCTGAGTGTAGGTATGATACATTGATGTATTTCTTGTTGTACTTGCTCATTTAATTTTGATAATTTCAGTGATTAATTGCAAATCATCCACCTGAGCTACAAATCTTCTCTATTATTTCAAAACCCTTTCTTCTTCATGTGATACCTAACCTATCGAAATCACTTAACTTGACCACAAATATGGGTGAGCACTATTTACAAAAAAATCTATTATATTCGTATACTTTATGGCTATGTGCAGGTGGTTATTTTAAAATTATTATTGAACATTTACATATTACTGCAGTTGATTGATTACGTTTGCTTTTCCTTATAAAGCTGTATTATGTACAGAACAAGGATCACCACGAAGATGTGGTGGCCAAGGCGATATACTTTCTGGTACAATGTCAGTATTCAACAATTGGTTTCATCAGCTGAAAGATGGAAACAAGTAAGTGAATGTTTATTTTTGGTATTAGATAATTAGAGGCAAATGTTGCAAACGTGGCTGATAGAATTCAGTTTGAAACCAAGATAGGACTGACTGGTATCCAATAGAAATTTATTTTGTGTCTTAGCTACACTATCCATCCGTCGATATGTAGCCATCATGATCAAACAGAAATATAAAAATATTAGTGGATAATTAGTGATAACCATACAGGATATAACCAACAACTATGAAGTATTATGATAGGCCTGAAGCCTGGATGAGGATATATTGACACTATCTTCATTCCTCGACCAGTACTCAAGAATAGGTATACTAATCTGCTTCCAAAACTTCTTGTATTTCTTCATTTGAAGGCGACATTTGACTTATAATAGCCAACAAGTGGCGATTTTCTGGCTATGAGGACACTGCCATCATGGCACTTTACTTGAACTCATGCGGTTATTTAAAAGCGTCAATTATGGCAATGACTCAATATCTCGTTATCTATCAAAATATATACGCACTGTCCAGCAGTTTACTTTGACCCACTTTACCAATCGAGCATTGTCATGTTTCGCGTCAAATTCCTCATACATTGAAGTACAGCTCCAAAAAGTTAAGTCACAAAGTATACCTTTTCCAGGGCAAGAATGTCTCTATTATTTTGACTGTGATGCTAAATTAAGGTCAGTTGCAACGAAGAATATTCATTTCAATAATTTCTTCTCGGGTTCTTACAGTTATAAAATATAATGTTTGTTGGCGTTACAATAATGGCCAGTTATGCAGCGACTGCCTTTTTCACGTAGAATAACAGATTAGTTATGGAGTGTCAGGACAAATAGTATTTGTGTGACAAACATGAAATCAATTACAAAATATTGTGAAATGGGAGACAATGGTGGTGATTAGTCATAATAGATTCGTAGAATGTGTGGCAGGAAAAACTGACAAGTCAGTTCAAGTTTATAAAAGGTATCAGGTGAGTGGCTAGAACAAAGTGGTCTGTGTTAAACAAAAGATAGTAAGACTGCAATGAGAGGCTCATCATGAAATAACCAATGTGTGAAATGAAGAAACAGGTGGAGGCATATATTGAGAAAACAGATAATATCACTAATAATAAGTCCGGATAGTATAAATGAAAAAATTCGTTAACATTGAGGGAATGTTTGCATGAAGGGTATAAATTATGACGAATAGTAATAATAATAATAGTAATTGATTTCACGTTTGTCACATAAATTGTGACACCCCATAACTAATCTGTTATTCTACGTGAAAAAGGCAGTCGCCGCATTACTGGCCATTATTGTAACGTCAACAAACATTATATTTTATAACTGTAAGAACCTGAGAAGAAATTATTGAAAAGAATATTCTTCGATCAGAATGGTTTTTAATTCCGTATATGTGATATTACTGCCTAAAGTATTTGGGCTTTTACCTTAGGAATTAGCGTCAGGCCAAGGAGTAAAGCACGCTTAACTTGTTATACGGTATAATTGAGTCTGAAATCATTTGGTTCTTTTCATTAAATAGTTCATAACTTTGAGTTCTGAGTGGGATATGTGGCTTGAAGCCTGAGCTTTGAAGTTTCAGTAGCAGTGGTGCTATTTTCTCCACGGAGATAGTGGGTGGTGGTCGTCTCATACTCAACGTTTTCTCTTTACCACACTAGTTAAGCGAAGTATTAGGAGTGCGTTGGTCAGGTAATTAAACTCAAGGTGTATGCAGGCTCAGTCAGCATCCTACCACCGAAACACTGGGTCACTAAACTAGGGAGTACTAGACGGTTGTTTCGTCCTAGTTTGGAAGTCTTCAGCAGTACTCATGCAACAAGGTTCGAACTCGAGATTTTCCGACTACATGGTGAACTCGTAGACCGTTCAACCACTGGGACCCTATAAAATTCATGGATATACATTATTAGTGTCATTCCAGTCGAATGTCTCATCTTTTAAAACATAAATATCACATATATATGTAGGTTAAATACGTATATACTAAGATATATATGCAATTCATCCTTTGGATTCTGAGTGCGGCGTAGACCTGCAGCAGCACATCTTCGATTCACTTCGTTCTCTGCTATGTCCGCGATTCTCAGTAAGCTTTCGTTCCTACCTCCCACGATTTCCTCCATATTACCCTCGGATGCTTAACTTGTCACTTCTCGTTGGGCTCCTATTCGAGGACTGACTAGCACGTGACTTTCTTCAACAGCCGCCTCTGCGCGTATCTAATTCATCCCCATTTTTTTCTGTATATATTTTAGGTGAAACTTTATTGGTTAATTATGTATAAGGTGTTTTTTTAGAAACTGTGGTCCACATTATACATTATACTTTTAAACAGGGTCATGATACTTTTTTTATTCACTAAAATCACTTTGCATGACATTCGTATGTAATATTGTGATTTATTTCCTTAAAAGTACGTCTTAATTGTTTTCTTTTATTTTCCAAATAAATTTTATCATAACTTTTTAGAAGTCTAGAGTTGACAACTACGATAGCAGTTGCCTTGGCGGCTTGTACGCTTACACGAAGGGCTTCACAGCTAGCCTTTATGAAATACGGTCGTTCTATGATAACCTCCCAGATGTTACCAGAAATTCATACTGCTTTTGAACAATTATTTAATAAAAAATAAAACTAGTAGTTATGATAGCATGTTTGATTTATCCTTGATTAAAATATTTTATACTACTTATTGCAATCACAATGACATTATTATTATTATTGTTATTATTATTATTATCATTGAGTGCTTTTAATGTGTACAATAAAAAAATATATACAATTTGAATTTCGCAGTTTTCTTAAAAGTTTATATCCACTGATAAGTTGTCAGACTTCTAGACATTATGAGATAAAAATATGAATACGTGTTGTATTTCGCTTTGACCTCGTTAGTTGTGAGATGATGATGATGATGATATGTGCTTGGTGTCCAGCGACTCTATAGTTAAAGCATAAGCAGTTAAATGTGTATTATCAACCTAATTGAAGTGAGCTCTTAGATTTCTCCACGAGTTTATTAATCATCTCTCCCGGCGGTAGCCTAGAACGTGATTGGTTGTTTTTGTGTTTTCACACCTTCTAGGTTACTTGTATTAGAACTGATTGTTTCTTTGACTTGAACTTTGACCCTTTGTGTGTGTGAGGTTTCTTTCTTATTGGTTGATAAATTTTGTCAATCTCGATGTGTCTATTGATTGATGATTCACTGGAATACCAGGTTGGCTTCTAAAAATTCCCTAGCATTCTTGTTGTTTCCTCTGTCTAATATTTGAACACTGGTTGTCCCAGTCGAATTGATGTCCGTGGTTGTCTGTATGTAGTCAGTGATATGAAGGAGTGGATGTCATGTCTTTTGACGGCTAGCTTATGTTCGTGGATACGAAGACGAAGGGGACGTCCACTTTGGCCAATGTAGTGTTTTTCGCAGTCGTTACAATTTATTTTGTAGATGATGTTGGCTTTATCTTCTTTCTGTGTTGAGTCCTTTGGTTGACATAGAACTGTGTGAAGTGGCTTTGTTGGTTTGTGTACGACGTCAATTCCTAAAGGTTTGAAGAGTCTTGTAGTGATTTCTGAGATATCCTTTATATATGGTGAGGCGATTATCTTTGTGCTTTCCTTGGGGGCTTTTGTTTTGGTAGGCTGGCTTGGGGGTATATGTGGTTTGATGAAATTCCATGGATACCCATTCTTTTGGAAGACGTCCATGAGATATTTTTCCTCAATTTTCCTTAAGGTGGGAGTGCTGCAATGAGTCCTTGCCCTCTTTAATTGTGTTTGTACGCAATTCCTTTTGTGTGTTATTGGATTGTTGCTGTTGTAATTCAGGATTTGGTCTGTGTGAGTTGATTTTATATAAACCTGAGTTTCTAATTCCCCTGTGGTTGTTCGCTTGACTAAGACGACCAAAAATGGGATTTTGTTCTCGGATTCTTCTCTTGTGAATTTGATGTCATTGAAGACGTTGTTTATTTAGTTGTGAGTTTTGTCTAACTCGTTTCTTTTGATTATTACAAATGTGTCGTGACGTGCTATGACGTCGAAAGATATCATTAATGATATAATATATATAAAAGCTCACTTCGAATTGAAGTATGCTCTGAAGATGTCGCCTAGTAGTGGGGTGATGAAAGCTTCGCAAATCAACTATCCAGCTCAGAGAACACAATTGCACAAATACTTATACCGCACTACTCTGTAGCTGTCAGTTCAAATGGGGCTGCCTGTAGTGGACTTTATTCTTTTTTTTTTTAATCTTTCCGAAGATGGTTTTCAACAGTGTCTAAACTAGTAGTGATATAAAGATACCTGGTTTGTCTATTTGTGCATCATTGTACAATCCTCCGTATTATTATTTATTATTATTGTATCCTTTAGTTCCTAGAGGAACATAGGGCTTCAGCTGCGCACCTCCATTGCCTTCGGTTTTCTGACAACTTTTTCACCCCGCTCCAGGTCTGTCCACATGCTTTCATCTCCTCTTCACATGACCTCCTCCAAGTCACCCTCTCACTGACGACCAACTCGCCGCTTCGCTTTCGGGTTCCACTCGAGCAATGGCTTGTCTAGTGATGTCACTTGATGGTTTCCTCAGAGTATGGCCAGTCCATCTCCATTTCTTCTTGCCTATTTGTTTCACAATCGGTTCCTGGTTGGTTCGCTCTATGCCAGAGATCCCTGCTGCTGATCTTTTCTGGCCGGCCATCTGATCTTGAGTATTGAGCGAAGACAGCTGTTAATGAAGTTCTGAAGTTTGTTTGAGATGCTCTTTATGACTCGCCAAGTCTCTGATCTGTATAGTAGCACTGACTTTACATTGGAGTTGAAAATCCGGATCTTATTTTTGATGCTGAGTGCTGTTGACCTCCACACAGATTTGAGAGTAATGAAAGCTTGTCTTGCTTTTCCGATTCTGGCTTTGATATCCTCGTCAGTTCCGCCTGTAGTTGAGACGATGCTTCCCAGGTAGGTAGGTGAAGGAGTCTGTTTCTTTCAGGTTATTCCCACTTATGCTGATTGTTGTTGCTGTCGATGTTGGCTAGGAATCTTCATCACCTCTGTTTTATCTATGTTCACTTGAAGTCCTATCTTTGATGCTTCTTCTGCCAACTTGTTACTTTTCACTTGCATATCTTCCAGTTTGTGGGAAATCAGACATATATCATCGGCGAAATCCAGATCTTCCAAGTCTTTTGTGTCAGTCCATTTTATGCCTGTTCCCTCGTAGGTTGCCGTTGTCCTCCGTATTACGATGTAAAATTAAAGAAGTCTAAGAAAAGCCCACAGCTAATTTGTTATAACTGAATGTGGCAAATAATTTAGCACCATTTATCAAGGAACTCTCCATACTTTGTATGACATCATGAATGTCTGGAAGGGACAGTCAGCGTTTGCCGATATTATTATCTGTAATATCATCGGGGTGGAGCCATGGCACATCGGTCTAGACTCTCGACTTCCAACCAATCGTTTGCGGGTTCAGGTGGTGGGATGGTGCCACTAGCCTTCGCACAATAGGTGTTTCATTGCAAATTGCATTTGGTTGTTGAGTAACTTAATGCCATCGTCGATGAGTACTTTTTCCCACAAGACACGCTTTACGAAACATTATTCCTGCCTACTGAATAACAGTCCCTTAATTAATTTTCCATTTAGATAGTTGAGATCATGAAATATATTCATCATAGAAGGCGAAGTCTCGTTAATTGTATATAATTTCTTCAAATGATTAATGATGTCCATTTAAAAATTACAAGAATAGTTAGTCAATAAGAAATATTCTTCTCGTTAACTTCTTCTTCATCAGGTTCTACAATTATATATCCGTAATAATTAGTGAATCATTGTTGCTAACAACATCCATGTTTTAAATCACATCGAATCAGTAGGTTCTATAGGATTACAGTTCAAAGTCCAGTAAGCTGCAGCTCATATTTTTCAAATGACTGGCTATGATCCTCAGTTGGAGGATGAAGTTTTAACTAAGAGAGGAAGAACGTTTTTTACTGGATAATATGAGCTTGTTTTATTTCTCAAGTTCTCGTCAAGTGTATTCTGCCAAAACAGTATGAAAATATAAATTACAAAAAGGTCTAAACATACCTTTCTCACAATGACGTCGACTTATTCCTAAGAAGTATTAAAACCATAATTATGAAGCGATGTAACGAATTATTTTGCTTGTACTTTTTATAGATAACTCGACGTCTCTGTGACAAAAGTATGTCCAGACCTGTTGTAACTCATATGTCGATATTGCTTAGGTTGTGTGTGTAGTTGACGAGAACTCATGAAATAAAATGAGCTCGTCATATTATCCTGCCAACATGTTCGTCCTTTCTCCAAACTAATCATGGGAATCAGTTGTATGAAGGACAAATTATCCAGGCTATCCACATGTTTCTGTATCCTATCACAATGTAGCTGCTTCTGTTAGGCCACTTGAATTGGTCGTTGCTGTAGGTACTTAGTTTTTTATCCTAGGGAATACCTGTGATATGTATCCACATATATATATTTATGTGTGTGTGTGCATGTTGGTCTCTCTTTCTGTTTGCTCGGTTAGTCTGTGACCACTTCACTTGTATGAACTTGTCTCCTTTAATAATGTGTATTCTCCTTATATTATATTATATATAATATGAGTGTTTGTTGACAGTCCGTTGCTTGGTGACATATATCCATATATGTTTGTTGGCATGTCTGCTATATTCGCTATGTATAATTGGATCGACACTCCATTATAATTAGCCATTCATGTTAAGACTGTCTAATGATTTTTCCCACGCTTGTCTGAATTATTTATATATATTCGCATTCACAATTTGTGTGAACTACTTTTACTTTACAACTACTTGACTTGCTTACCACTTTGGTGTGAGACCATTTATTTTCGTCTCCTTGTGTTTGGAATAGAAGTATCATCACAAACCTAGTGGTCTTCTGATTTCCGCCTTCTCGCGTCAGGACTATTAGTTTCTCGACCAGTCCATAACAATAATTTAGCGACGAGTACATAACAATTTGGCGACGGGGAAACTAGTACATAACAACCTGCCAGTGTGGATTAATGAAATGTGTGCCTAAAAACTGTCACCAGTTCGATATATTAGATGATCTAGTCAAAACAGGCCTCTTATACAGTCTCAGTTCTGAATAATCTTTTTCTATCATCTATCAGGTACCAAATAAATTGTCAAAAGCTTCTAGGTATAGAATATTCCACATAGTAGAAACTGTCGCAAACTACCGGAAATCTGTGTAGAAAAGAATCAGGTCCAACGACTTTTGCTCTACTGGCCTGTTGTGGAATTCATAAACTCATTCATAGTGTATTTCTTAATATGTCTGATATTCTGAGTTATACTGATACATATGTATTACTTATGGATGCGCTTTTGAACTGCAATCTATTTATTCTAATTATATTTCAATAATTGTTCACACATAATGGCAAGTTATTTTTATTTGTGTAAACAACTAGTGTAATAGAGCATTTAACTAATTGATCTACTCTATTCTACAATGTACAACCTCCTTTAGATATCATTTGTAATCTATTAGTGTTGTCAATAATAATAATAGTGATTCTTTAATTATTATCGATGCACATAACCATGTAACCTGATG